ATCGAAGAGAGCGACGTGGCCATTTGTGCTGCGTGGGTCTCGGACCCGTACCTCACACAGTTCCAGGACGCAGTCGGCACTCGGCAGGTCGAGGCCATGCAGAGGCTGCAGCATAAGCTACTCGACAGTGACTACACCGCCAAGGAGGCGACGACCCAGCTCCATTTGCAGGTCGAGAAGGACACGGTGGCGGCTCTCCACGACCGACTTCACGCCCAGTCGGCGACGATCCAGGCGTACGAAGAGAAGCACATCAAGATGCACCAAGCTCTCCAGGTATTATCCGCACGTCTGAGATACGATCTGGCTCAACGGCGGCGTAGCTCCGGCTGGCGCAGTATGCCCTCGAGTGCAAACTCCTCAAAGAAAACAACTTGACGCTGCGCCACGAAGTGCAGACGCTCGAAGCCGCGCTCTCGCGAACCGAAGCCGCGCTTCAGCACGCGACGGCCCAAAGCATCGCGCTGCTGGGCGAGAACGAGCATCAATCGGCACAGCTTGCAAGCTCAAGCGAAACTGCAGACAAGTGCGCGAGTCTGGAGCGCGTACGTTCTTTGAGCCGCAACGTATTGACATGGAGCGGTAGCAAATCGCCGAGTGGCGCGAGTACCACGCGACGGCGCTCGAAAGCGAACGTGACGCGCGCGCGGCGGAGCGCGAAGAGCTGATTGCGGTGTACGAGGAGAAGCTCTTCAAGGCGCGGGACCGCATTGAAGCGCCGCCAAAGCCAAGTAGTGGCTTGGAAAACCCGGCTGAGGACCGCAGCCGCATCCTCGAGCTCGAAAAACTGCTCAAGCAAAAGGTATCTTTCTGTCCATGCGCCCGCATCTGGCTGCAACAAGGTGGTCTCTGCCAGGAGCAAGGGACGCAAGCGCTCCGGGCGATGCTCGAGCGCCAGCAAAGCGTGTCCGAAGAGATGCTCAAGGCCGTGAACCGCAAGTATGACAACGTCAAAGCCATCAACCTTGCGCTACAGGTAGACCCGATTGACAGCTCTACTTTGGGCTCATGCGAATACGACAGAGGCGCGCGCTTGGCCGATCGTCGGGCCTTGGGAGCTAATGGCGATGGATGGATGTCGTATCGATAGTAGGGTAGTAGTATTGATGATTCATTGTCCGTGCATCGAGGCCAGCGACTTACTGCGACCGGATGTTGTACTTGGCTTGCCACGCGTTGGCCGCGGCTTCCTTCTGCTTGAGGAGATCTTCGACCTGGACCATGACCTTGGCGATACCCTCGCCATTCGAGACGACGGCCGGGAGCACCTCGCCGACCGTGCGCTCGACGAGGACGCCGCCGACCATGCGGAACGCACGGCGCTGGCCGTCAAGCGCCTGCAGCGTCTCGGCCACGCGCTGGTGCTCGGTGAACTCGAGCTCCATCTCGGCGAGCTTCTCCGCGAGCTGGCGGATCTCCGTGCGCATGCCCTTGTACTGGGCGATGACCTGCTGCTCGTTCAGTTGCGGCTCCGACATTTCTTACTGAGTGGAAGCGCTCGATGGTCCAAAAGCCACGTGATTTTCACCAATTCCAACGGTGATTCTCCATTTGCACGCAACTTATGACCTAAGGTCGTTGGGACGAAAAGGCCAACGGACGAGGACTCGATGGGTCTTCCTCCAACGCGGGCAGGAGGCTGAGCACCTCAGCAACGAGCAGCTCGTACAGCAAACGCTTCCTCTACCAGCCATCTCCTCGTACTTCAAGTGAGTACGGCCGCCTTTCTTGCCCGCCAGAAGTTCCGAACCTTAGGCTCGCCACGCGGTGACATGCACCGTTACACGGCCCGGGATTCCAACCTAGGCTTTCTAGCGGCAACAACTTCAAGCTTTGGGTGACTGCAGCGCATGAACCGAGCGACGGAGCTCTACGACGAGGCCTTCCGCGCAGCCGAAGAGGGCATCCGCGCAGAGGAGATCCATGACGCCGAGACGGCGGTCCGACGCTTTGAGGAGGCCATTCGCATCTTCAGCCGGCTCGCGATCGTCGAGTCGCTCAGCAAGCGCGAGCTGCTCCAAGGGCAGATCGCCGATTTCCAGGAGCGCATCGACAAGCTCCGCGCCAAGGTTGTCGAGCCGCCGCTCGTTCAGACTGCAGCCCACGTCGACCTGCAGATTGGCAACGCGGAAAGTCTCGAAGCCATGGCTAGGACTCTCGACACCGCGCCACACGGCGTGCAGTCCATCGTACAAGCCTACATGGCCGCGGCCGATGCCTACATGACGGTAATCTGGAAGCTCATGCATCGCTCATCGAAAGCTAGGTTTTGCAAGACCCATCCCTGTCTCTGTCGGCGCAGGTGCGCGTCCAAGCCAGCGTCGAAGCCATCATCAAGCGCGTGACAGAGCTCAAGGAGCCAGTGATCAGCAATGCTGCCAGTGGTGACTTCGATCTCATGGAAGAAGAGCTCATGGAAGAGATGGAATCGTTTCTTGATGGTAGACTCGAACCATATATCTCGCTTCGCATAACGTTGACCTGCGCAGCCGCCGACGTTGCGCCGGCCAAGCAAGCGGTGGTGCACACGTCGACACCTCAGTTGCTTCGGTCGCCGTCTGCAATGCAACGCCCCGTGATCACATTCGAAGACGACGCCGGAGACGCCAAGTACACGGCCGAAGAAGTCGACGTCCTGCGCCGGTCCTCGGTCGTCAACGGGCGTCTCTTCCAGCCGTGGATCGCGTCTGACGCGTACGAAGTCTTCTCGCCCCACGAGCAATATATCGACCCGGACGGCTTTCTCAGTACGCGGCTCGCACGCTGCTTTGGTCTCATGGCTCGCTGTGACCAGGCATGTCGCCCAAGCAAATGGACAAGCTCGACAAGTGGGTGCGTCCGACGGGCTATGGCACGGGGCACCCCGTCATGATTGCAACCATTTCGCCGTACGTTATCGTGCAGGACGTCGTCACCGACTGCTCGTTCGTCGCGTCGCTCTGCATCACGGCGGCGTTCGAGCAGCGGTTCCAGAAGAAGCTGATTACAAAGATCATCTACCCCCAGGTATCGACGGCGCTCGGGTCGCATCTCATCGCCCGGGAGTAGGATGCGTATGGGAACCCAATTGTAAATCCCGGCGGACGCTACAACGTCAAACTGTGGGCCAACGGCGTGCCGCGGAAGGTCGTCGTGGACGACTGCCTGCCCCTCGGCTACAACGGCACGCTCCTCTGCTCATGCACGACGACCCCGAACGAGCTCTGGGTGCGAAGACGACTCATCTCGTTCGTTCTGCAATGTAGTTCGGTGGTAGGTGAGCATCATTGAGAAGGCGTACCTCAAGGTGAACGGTGGCTACGACTTTCCGGGGAGCAACTCGGGCATCGACCTCTTTGCGCTCACGGGCTGGATCCCCGAGTCGCTCTCGTTCGTCGACGCGTCGGGCCCGACGAGCGACGTCATCTGGCAGCGGCTCATGAGCGCCTACAACTTTGGCGACTGCCTCATCACGATCGCGACAGGCGAAATGCCGCCCGACATTGTACGTCCGCGGCTTCCTTGGTTGTGAGCTTTTGACATGTGGACGCAGGCGCGCCGGGTTGGGCTCGTGCCGTCGCATGCCTACGCCGTCCTCAACGTCCTCGAAACGGCGTGTGGCGTGCGCTTGCTCCGCGTCAAGAACCCGTGGAACCGCAAGCGCTGGAAAGGCCCGTACAGCCTCGACGACTCGCAGCATTGGACGCCAGGTACGATTACGAAGGGCACTGTGTCTGCACTCCATCTTTCGTACTAGCGCTGCAAGACGAAGTGGGCTTTGACCTGGACGCCGCGCGCCACGCGAAAGACGACGGCCTCTTCTGGATCGACTTTGACTCGGTGCAAGAGCACTTTAACGCGCTCTTTCTCAATTGGAACCCAGAGCTGTTCCAGTACCGGTACACGGTGCACAAGCACTGGCCTGTCGAGATGGGTCCAGCCAACGACACGTACAACCTCGGGTACAACCCGCAGTTTCTGCTCACGATCCCCAACACCCAGCGCCGCACCAAGTCGTGCTCGATCTGGATCCTCCT